GTGTTTTACGGCATGTTGTGTATCTCTATGGTGGGTTTATGCATGGTACCAACACTCTTTGTACTTGCTGGTGATTTGCTGGTGTTTGACGACATATTGTGTGTATCTCTATGGTGTGTCTATGCGTGGTACCAACACCCTTTTTACTTGGTGGTGACTTACTGGTGTTTGACGGCATGATGTGTATCTCTATTGTGTGTGTATGAATAGTACCAACACTCTTTACTTGGTGGTGACTTACTGGTGTTTGACTGCATGATGTGTATCTCTATTGTGTGTCCATGCGTGGTACCAACACTCTTTACTTGATGGTGACTTACTGGTGATTGACAGCATGTTGTGTATCTCTAAGGTGTGTGTATGAACAGAAACAATACTCTTTACTGAATGATGCATGGTGTGTATCTCTATGGTGTGTCTATGCGTGATACCAACACTCTTTACTTGGTGGTGACTTTTAAATGTTAAACGGCATGATGTGTATCTCCATGGTGTGTCTATGCGTGACTCCAACACTCTTTACTTGGTGGTGACTTACTGGTGATTGACGGCATGATGTGTATCTCTATGATGTGTCTATGCGTGGTACCAACACTCTTTACTTGGTGGTGACTTACTGGTGTTTGACGGCGTGATGTGTATCTCTATGGTGTGTCTATGCGTGGTACCAACACTCTTTACTTGATGGTGACTTACTTGTTATTGACGGCATGATGTGTATCTCTATGGTGTGTCTATGCGTGGTACCAACACTCTTTACTTGGTGGTGACTTACTGGTTTTTGACGGCATGATGTGTATCTCTATGGTGTGTCTATGAATAGTACCAACACTCTTTACTCGGTGGTGACTTACTTGTGTTTGACGGCGTGATGTGTATCTCTATGGTGTGTATATGCGTGGTACCAACACTCTTTACTTGGTGGTGACTTACTGGTGTTTGACGGCGTGATGTGTATCTCTATGGTGTGTCTATGCGTGGTACCAACACTCTTTACTTGATGGTGACTTACTAGTGATTGACGGCATGATGTGTATCTCAATGGTGTGTCTATGCGTGGTTCCAACACTTTTTACTTGGTGGTGATTTACTGGTGTTTGACGGCATGATGTGTATCTCTATTCTAACACTCTTTGCCTGGTGGTGACTTACTGGTGTTTAACTGCATGCTGTGTATCTCAATGGTGTGTCTATGCGTGGTACCAACACTCTTTACTTGTTGGTGACTTACTGGTGTTTGACGGCATTATGTGTATCTCTCTGGTGTGTCTATGCGTGGTACCAACACTCTTTTCTTGGTGGTGACTTACTGGTGTTTAACTGCATGATGTGTATCTCTATTGTGTGTCTATGCGTGGTACCAACACTCTTTTCTTGGTTGTGACTTACTGGTGTTTAACTGCATGATGTATATCTCTATTGTGTGTCTATGCGTGGTTCCAATACCCTTTTCTTGGTGGTAACTTACTGGTGTTTAACTGCACGATGTGTATATCTATAGTGTGTCTATGCGTGGTACCAACACTCTTTAGTTGGTGGTGACTTACTGGTGTTTGACGGCATGATGTGTATCTCCATGGTGTGTCTATGCGTGGTACCAACACTCTTTACTTGTTGGTGACTTACTGGTGTTTGACTGCATGATGTGTATCTCTATGGTGTGTAAATGTGTGGTACCAACACTCTTTACTTGGTGGTGACTTACTGGTGTTTGACTGCATAATGTGTATCTCTATGGTGTGTCTATGCGTGGTACCAACACTCTTTACTTGGTGGTGACTTACTGGTATTTGATTGCATAAAGTGTATCTCTATTGTGTGTCTATGCGTGGTACCAACACTCTTTACTTGATGGTGACTTACTGGTGATTGACGGCATGATGTGTATCTCAATGGTGTGTCTATGCGTGGTTCCAACACTCTTTACTTGGAGGTGACTTACTGATGTTTGACGGCATGATGTGTATCTCTATTCTAACACTCTTTACCTGGTGGTGACTTACTGGTGTTTAACTGCATGCTGTGTATCTTTATGGTGTGTCTATGCGTGGTACCAACACTCTTTACTTGGTGGTGACTTACTGGTGTTTGACAGCATTATGTGTATCTCTGTGGTGTGTCTATGCGTGGTACCAACACTCTTTTCTTGGTGGTGACTTACTGGTGTTTAACTGCATGATGTGTATCTCTATTGTGTGTCTATGCGTGGTACCAACACTCTTTTCTTGGTGGTGACTTACTGGTGTTTAACTGCGTGATGTGTATCTCTATTGTGTGTCTATGCGTGGTTCCAATACCCTTTTCTTGGTGGTAACTTACTGGTGTTTAACTGCACGATGTGTATCTCTATAGTTTGTCTATGCGTGGTACCAACACTCTTTACTTGGTGGTGACTTACTGGTGTTTCACGGCATGATGTGTATCTCCATGGTGTGTCTATGCGTGGTACCAACACTCTTTACTTGGTGGTGACTTACTGGTGTTTGACTGCATGATGTGTATCTCTATGGTGTGTAAATGTGTAATACCAACACTCTTTACGTGGTGGTGACTTACTGGTGTTTGACCGCATGATGTGTATCTCTATGGTGTGTCTATAAATAGTACCAACACTATTTACTTGTTGGTGACTTACTGGTGTTTGACTGCATGATGTGTATCTCTATGGTGTGTCTATGCGTGGTACCAACACTCTTTACTTGGTGGTGACTTACTTGTATATGATTGCATGATGTGTATCTCTATTGTGTGTCTATGCGTGGTACATTTTGTACCAACACTCTTTACTTTATGGTGACTTACTGGTTTTTGACGGCATGATGTGTATCTTTATGGTGTGTCTATGAATAGTACCAACACTCTTTACTCGGTGGTGACTTACTTGTGTTTGTCGGCGTGATGTGTATCTCTATGGTGTGTCTTTGCGTGGTACCAACACTCTTTACTTGATGGTGACTTACTGGTGATTGACGGCATGATGTGTATCTCTATGGTGTGTCTATGCGTGGTACCAACACTCTTGGTGGTGACTTACTGGTGTTTGACGGCATGATGTGTATCTCTATGGTGTGTCTATGCGTGATACCAACACTCTTTACTTGGTGGTGACTTACAAATGTTTAACGGCATGATGTGTATCTCAATGGTGTGTCTATTCGTGACTCCAACACTCTTTACTTGGTGGTGACTTACTGGTGTTTTACGGCATGTTGTGTATCTCTATGGTGGGTTTATGCATGGTACCAACACTCTTTGTACTTGCTGGTGATTTGCTGGTGTTTGACGACATATTGTGTGTATCTCTATGGTGTGTCTATGCGTGGTACCAACACCCTTTTTACTTGGTGGTGACTTACTGGTGTTTGACGGCATGATGTGTATCTCTACGGTGTGTCTATGCGTAGTACCAACACTCTTTACTTGGTGGTGATTTACTGGTGTTTGACGGCATGATGTGTATCTCTATGGTGTGTCTATGAATAGTACCAACACCCTTTACTTGGTGGTGACTTACTGGTGTTTGACGGCATGATGTGTATCTCTATTGTGTGTCTATGAATAGTACCAACACTCTTTACTTGGTGGTGACTTACTGGTGTTTGACTGCATGATGTGTATCTCTATTGTGTGTCCATGCGTGGTACCAACACTCTTTACTTGATGGTGACTTACTGGTGTTTGACAGCATGTTGTGTATCTCTAAGGTGTGTGTATGAACAGAAACAATACTCTTTACTGAATGATGCATGGTGTGTATTTTTATGATGTGTGTATGCGTAGTAACAGCACTCTTTACTGATGTCTACATTATGTTTATCCCTATGGCGTTATTATGCATGGTAAAAAGTTAAATCACAAAAATACTGAACTGCGAAGAAAATTAAAAAAAGGAAAGTCCCCAATCAAATGGCAAAATCAAAAACTCAAACACATCAAACGAATGGATAACAACTGTCATATTCCTGACTTGGTACAGGCATTTTCTTATGTAGAAAATGGTTGATTTAACCTGGTTTTATAGCTAGCTAAACCTCTCACTTGTATGACAGTCGCATCAAATTCCATTATATTAACACCTCTCTTACTACAGCGGGGCGTAACAATATGATTTGAACTGCTGTAGTTTATGATTGTAATACCATTGCTAAAGCAGAAAAAATACAATATTACATAAACATAACACAAATTACGAATTTAATTTCGTGCACAGTGATTCTAAAAAGCCCAATAACGGAATATATTTAACATTTAATTTTAATTCAACAGATTAACACGAAACAATACTCCAAAAACTAGTCAGGTAAATATGTTAATCGGTAAAAAATACCATTTCTCAAAAGTACGATGAAACAGCATGCCTGATCACTGATGACCGTTGAATACACAATCAAAACATCAACGTATCTAATAAAAGTAACTTCTCAAAACACATATTATGTATACTTAGCTACAAACGCGACTCTGAATGAAAGTCAAAATATCATTCACGGTGCTGTTCTGACATTCAATAATATCACAGACAGAATTGTAATACGAAATTAGAAGATGTCGAATTTAATTTCAGGCACATGTGCGCATTTCGAAATGAGAGGCGAAAGATACCAAAGGGACATTCAATTTCTTAAGTCGAATAAAACTGACAACGCCATGGCTAAAAAAGAAAAAACCCAGCATACAAACAATGGTACACAAAACACAAAATAGAAAAACTAAAGACTGAGCAACACGAAATCTGGAAGTAGACAAAGTTGAAGAGCAATAAACCCAAAAAAACACCAGAAAGGACACAACAAACAGCTAAAGAAAAGGATGTACTTAGAATTTAACATATTTTTCAACTGAAAATTTCAAAAAGAAAATATTACCATGCTAGTACAAAAGCACCGAGTTAGTGATACTCGATGACTCTATGGTAGAAATATTAAGTGACAGATTAACGAATTAAGAATGTGTATACATTAAATACTTCCCAAACAAAATTCATATAATGCTATCATTACCTGGCGACATCGTGTTTATTGTCACAGTGTCTTCTACATTGGGAGAAAACAATGAAAAAGTCTCATTCTTTGTGCTTTCATTTCCTGTTTGTACGTCCACTGAAACAAAAAAGATATGAATATTGCAAAATTAACCGAAGTTAATGCTAAAATGATAAAGAAATTATGATTATGGCAGTTAGCAACAATGGACAACCACTGGATAACAGACTTTTAACTTGCGACAATCACATGAAGGATATGGCGTGGTTAACATGTTTTCGATCGCTCAATCGTGTCCTTAACCTAAAAAGGAGAGGCGAAAGATACCAAGGGGATATGCAACTTATAACCCAAAAACATTCTGACAATACCATGGCAAAATACGAAACACGACCAAAAAGACAAACAACAGTATACAAAAACCAACATAGAAAACTAAACGGAATGATCACAGGTGCTCCGGAAGAGTAATCAGATCCTGCTCCACATGTGACACCTGTCGTGTTGCTCATGTAAGTACAAACCCGTTGATAAGTCTAATTTGGCAGGTCGCATTTGCGGATAAGAGGACGGTATTGTGGTTAAGACAATTGGAACATATGCGTCGTCATCTGTGAAACAGATATTCCATTACGGTCAACCAATTCGTGATGGCGTCCGTAAAATTTTGAAGAGATGACTTCAACTTAACCACTCGGAACTCTTGGTTTCATAGCTTCATTGTGAGCAGCATACCTCTATCAAGCAATCATGATAAGAAATGCAAACCCTGGAAAATCGTATCAACTATAACAGTTGTATAAAAGAATAAATTGTAAACATAAGTTGGAAATTATTTGACTCACCAAACCATTACTAACCATAATACCATTAGAAACAAACTACCGATCAAAGAGAACACGTAGTTGATGAAAGCTAGAATTAGTCCAAACCCTAATTTTAACTAATACATTTACTATGTTTGTTTTTTTTTCGAGACTGATTACCATGTCTGTCTGGTGATTATGTATGGGTGTGCCGGCCATAGTATTTACTAATTTGTTTCTGACTGTGTGGTGTTTTTTACTACTTTTGGATCGGTACCGCTGTCGGACAGTTCCCCGAGGATATCATCCGCCAAATAGCCAGTCCTTCGGTTGTTGCAATATTTCTTATAATACTTTTTTGTCCTCATATTTCCAGTACACAAATTTTATCACTACCACATTCTCATGCAAACTTAACCTCAGCCAAATTTGGCTGTTCTCTTTAGGCCTTTTCAGTTTTTGTCTCTCATACGTTACTCTTTTTATCAAACTTTTTGTAATTAGCTTACCTAAAGGAATTGATGATCTGATGTTTTGATGTTTGAATGTAATTCTTAAATACATCATATGTTTTTTTTTTCTATTGAGAATAATTTGTTATCGTACCTGTATTTTGTGATGTCTTGTTCATTGCCACAGTCATTTCAAAAGAAGAAGAATTGTTTTCTGTGATTTGAGTTGGAACTTCTTCTGAGGAAAAAGAAAAAATGTAAAGCTATAAGCATGAAAAAAGTAAAGTTTAACATTTTTTGTATTTCATGAAGTATGCCAGAATAATTTGAAAGAGGTTTTCATAACTCTTAGATTAATTTAAATTGAATTAAATTATAAACATAATACATGTACATGAGGTAGAGCAACATATACAGGATATTTTATCATACAATATAAATATAAAAATACTGATTTGTTTGGCATAAAATATAATGACACACACATACATAAAAAAGAAGTATCTAAAAACGAACAAATTGTATAAAAGTATAAATGAAACCTTCATAAAATGTGTTAATCGCCCTGTGGATAGATAAAACGTAAGTCATATTCAGAATATACATACTCAAAATATGCTAAAAAGAACAGTACAACAAAATTTCAAAGCATAATACGTTCAGGTCGTAATATCAAAATCTTTAAATTAAAGAAAATAACCCGTCGTTCATTGGAGATTGCACATTGGTGTATACATGTACGTGTTGCTATACTGCCTTTAATGGACCTTCTACTTTGTATTGACCGCCTTCAACACGTTGAAGATTATGCTACTTGTACTACGCATGGCTTAGTGCAAACATAATATATTTACACAGAGCACATTTTTATTCCGTTTTTTGCATTACAATAAAACGATTTACACATGATAAATTTAATGACGGTATGTGTATGTTGAGACAGCTGATTTTAACGACTCTACAGAGTTGCTCATCACAATTCCAGTTTTAAATCGTACGTTGGAGCATGATAGTTGACGTATTTGTTTTCTGCAGCATGAAATTTGGTATGAGAATGTGTGCATGTTCTGGGACTGTATGAGCGGTTGTATTAGTCTGTCTTTTTTGTGATTGCAATGAGTTGATATGAAATGTCATAAAAACATGACAAGGCGTGCGTCTGTTTGTCTGTGTGCTAGGTGGTTCTGTGTCGGTTATTGACAAATCTAACAACTATTCTTTGTACTTTTTCTAGTTTGTATATATCCTCAGTAAAATAAGGGTCAAAGATTGTACAGGCATATTATAGTGATGGTCTGACTAAAGATTTATATGCCTGTTGCTTTACGGAGGTGGAATTGATGTTAAGATTCCTTCTAAGAAAACTTAGTGTGCTGTTAGCTTTATTACAGATGTTTATGTGACTGTGTCATTTTAGGTCTGACTGAATTGTCACGCCTATGTATTTTTCCTTTTCAACATGTTCAAGAATGTGTAATGAGTGTATACGAATGGATTTATATTTCGGCAGATGGAAAGAACATTTAACTTGTCAGGATGAAAGCCATTATCCATGTGTGTTCCCAAATACCTAGTGTATCGTTTTGAAGGGTTTCGCAATCACTGTTAGATTTTATTACCAGATAAGTAATTGTGTTGTTTATAAATAGGCATATGCTGGAATTTAAGCCAACGTTTATGTCATTGATGTAAAACAAAAACAGTTTGTTTTGCAATTTCAATATTTTAGTGACATCATCTATAAATTGCAAAAACTGAGTTTCACTTGATCTATTTTTCGAAAACCGTGTCACAGGGACTACAGGATGTTATGGATTGTTTGAGTTGTTTTTTGTACCTGATGTTTAATTTGCTTATATTTGTTTCTCGGGTTGTCATTTCCAGACTTGGTTTTATCTTGTTTTACAGTCTGTATCTCGTTTTCATCAATCTTCTTGTTTCAGCTGTACAGGAATTAGTGATGTAAATTTAGTAGTTACAATCTACAGGATATTGTCAATTTTGTATTTGTTAATGGCATACCACACAACATGAAACGTTTTAAGTATGTGGTCTTTGAATGTGTGAAGTGTATACTGGTTGTATCTAGGTGTTTGACTCATGTGTCTGTGTTTGATTTGTATGCGCAGTTGAATAAACAAATCCACATATGATCAACTTTGCAAGATAGCATTGGATTCTTAGATCTTTCACTCCTAGATCATACAGTGAAAAGATTTCTAAACTGACCATTTGAGGCAGAAATTGCGAACTTTTATAGATACATTGGCATAAAGTTAGATATCGACTGGAGACAGAGGCAGGAATGGATAATTTATATAATCTTGCATGTTGGAATTATTGACTACTAAACTTTACATTTATAGTATTCTAAAATGTTGTCAATTTGTTATCAGAATAGTTTCATATTTGTTTTAGGCATTTTATGCCAGAAAACATGCACATACGGTAAGCTGACAATAATTGAAGTCTTGTTTACAAATTCTTTAAAAATTAAAACAGGGGTGGGGGTATTAAATGTGCTGTAAAAGAAAAGTTAGAGCATATGCAATGATTTCTTTTAGACTTTGATTCCGATAAATAAGTATTGTTGTGAGAAAAAGTGTTTTAAAGATTTTTCTATTTGAATAAATGTAAGTATAGATTGCACTTTATAAATACAGCTGTTTCACAAACCACGCCCCTTTTGGGGAGATATATAATATTCATAGAAATTTTGTTTTGTTTACGTAATGGTTCCCAGATATGATTTCTATGCCTCATAGTGAAAATGTCAAAGTTTTAGCCGTAAAAGGAGTTCCTATGGGAAATTGCATTGTCTATATTCACAGAAGTGCAACCTATAGGACTAGAATTGATACTCGATACGTATATATCCTGCCAATGTGTTATTGTTCTCTGGTCATTTTTTGTATTCTTGTCTTTAAATATTTCTTATAGGCTTTGTCTATATGCCATTTTGTCTTTGTTGAGATAGTTGTTTGTTTTATAGTGATTAAGATAATAACACAATGTTGACTGCTGTACTCCTATTTTGACATTTCTATATATCATATATGAAAATAAGAAGATTATGCATGGAAACATTTAAGAAAGAAAAATTTCTCGCTTATATCTTCTCCAATTCAGAAAAGTTTAAGAAATATGTGATGGCGAATATCCGATATATTGGTTTTAAGGTCGTATTAATTTGAAAAGGAATTTAAAAAAAAGAGGTGCATGATACAAAAGGGAGACTCAAAACTAATGAGTCGAACAGACATCGAAAATATTATAGCAAACAAAAATGTTCTAATATATAAATGGTACAAAGAATAATGTTTCGGATGAGGTGTTGAATGTAATTTCATGTGGATGTGATGAATACTAATCGACTTAAGTCTAAAAGGTACAATGTCATTAATAAACATCTGGTCAAGGTTGTTTTTTTGCCAAAAAGCGGAGTTGAAATGAAATATACCAAGCTACTGTAGCGTCTATAAAGAATACCTTCCCACCAATTTTAAACTTACAACCATAGGTTGTCACAGTTTTTAAATCTCGAGACAGTAGTTGTGTTCATATCTACAGAGAGGTAATACAATGTAATGATTGGTGGTCAAGTTGTTTAACTTATGCACAAATATTCAATGATCAGATGGATTGAAATATTGATTTGCAATGTCAAATATGGAAATTGCACTAGGTCGCGTATATCTATTTATATATAGTTTCGTTATGTTGCAGAATAAGATTTATTGAAAATTCAGGCGGCGAATAAGAAAGAATAAAGTGTAGATTTTTTCTTGCATATCAACATAATAAAGTAATTTGAGTTTATTTTCTGTAACTGCGAAATTCTTCGATACGTTATTTCCTAGAACGATTTTACTGTAGCCATAAAGCCATAACTTGTGAGATTGTTTATTGTTTATTCATTTGTCATCCTTTTTTGTTTCGAAATCGGACTTTTCCCGAGACTATTTTTAACTGTGTATGAGAATCCACTAAACCACTAAAAATCAAAATAAAATTCTTTATTAAAGTGACCTAATTTTCATTGGAAAACAAGAATGTTCGATTGCAAGGACAGGGTTATAATAAAGTAATTTTTGTAACCCTTCATTTCTTATAGTTTGACTACAATTATTTAAAGTATTAAGATATTTATTTAGTTGAAATCTCGTGTGATAATCCGTCTTATACATGTAAATATAAAAAAAATGTCTCCCAATAAAAAATTAATAATACAACAAATACAATAACTGACACTAAAAATTCCGAATTCCACTTAAAGCCTTAACATACAAATGAACACATTCTTGAGCGTTTGTTGTGCTGTTATACCATTTTCCAGATAAGGCAAAGGGTTGTTCTCTTTCAACCCCACTACATTCTGTGTGCGCCTGTCAAAAGTCATGAGCATGTAGTTCAGTGGTTGTCTTTGTTGCTGTCTATCATTTTATTGTTTTTCAAATATTGTAGTGTGCATAACATAACATAATAGCGTTAAGTTATCTCGATTTAATTGTTTTACATCTATTGCTTACTATACGAAATGGATTTTGCTCATTTTTGAAGACCGTAAGATGACCTTTAGTTGTTTAAATTTACGTCAATATTTGATAGCTCTCTCAATGGCAGTCACACCCTATCTTTTATTGGTATAGATATATTCTGTATTTGATACTATATGACGCAAAATATAGGATGATTTTTTAGTTTTGTTTCTGTAAAACTGGTCAAGGATTATAGTTTATAAGATAATAAGCCAGATGCGCATGTCGTTTACAGAAGAATCGTCTGTGTCTTATGAATTATTTGAAAGTATAAATAGATTAATGTTATTGCACAAATTCATTTCGAAATAAAACTGAAGTAAACTTTGCCTAAATATATTTTTGGAGAGTTGTTCGTGGTTGAAGTCGTGACCACAGTAGTTGAAGACTGATGGTTTCCATTTTTCACCGATGGACGTGCATTATAATCTGGTGTTGGTACTGAAATTATATTAAACAAAACGTGTGCTATAAATATAGGTGATGTATTCGGGAATGTTAGATAACCTGATATACGTGGCTCTGTAGTTATACATCCCGTCATTGTGTTATTGTGCTATTGTAAATTTTTGTATTCTTGTCTTTCATTTTTGCTACTGTACTTTTTCTATATGCCTTTTTGTGCTTCTCTGTTACATATTTGTTTGTTTTTATAGTGATTAAGATTATAACACAATGTTGACTTCTGTACCCCTTTTTT